GTAGTATATAAAAATACCCTGGGAGAGACCTATAGTGAGGAGAGAAGTAGGATAAGAATACAAGCCTGGGGAATCCCAATCAAAGTTGGAAAAGAACTAGGAGAGCACAGCTATGAAATCCTAGGCAACAGAGAGTTTCAGGACAGAAGGCCATATCTCATGCAGCAGAGAAGTCAAGAAAGATAAGAAATGAAAAATGGCCATTGGATTTGGCAAGAACCAGGTTAGTGTGACCAGTGTTAGCAGTGAGGTTGGTCTGCAGAAGGTCAGGAAGTGAGTGGGCAATGAAGGCAAAGAACTTGATTGCAGGCAGCTGGAGCAGTCTGACCACCCAAGGAGGTCATATGCAATTTGAGCTTCCACTGTGGAGCAGTAGAGGATAAGGCCATTGGTGTGTGTGGTAATGGCTGGTCAGGGCAGGGGTTTAGAGGTTACACAGGGAGGAAGGAAGGAGGTACAGAAGAATAGCCTAATTCACGAGAAAGAGGAAGGCTTTTGGTAGCCATGGCGCCAGCTAGCTGATACAGGGAACGCCAGCTGTTTGCAGTAGGAGAGGAAATTGAAGAATGAGTGGTTAATGCATCTGGATTCTGGAATTCATAGGAAACACACTTTGTGACGAAGCAGCAGGATGCAGGCAGGAGATAAAGAATTAAGAAGTGCAAGCTGTTTCACATGAAACTCACACTAGCCTCATAACCTCTGTAGCCAGAACATAACTTCGAAGTCATAAAACAAGGGGGTAAACAGTCCTTACCAAAAGGGGAATTCAAACACTCCCCATGGCTTAGGATTATCTATGTTAAGGTTTCTCTAGATGGTCTGATAATTAGGAGCTCACCATGCTTTCTATAAACACCAGAACACTGTTAAAACAGGGAAAACTGAGCCCTCCCTGGTGTCGCAGCAGGTTAAAGCACAGCACTAAGACGCTAAAGCCACTTCAGCATGAGTTCGATCCCCCACCCCAGGTGACCCACATGGTGTGTCAGACCTCTCCTGACCTGCCCACTGCTCCCCTCAGCAGTGTACTTCGTCGGTTGGCCTGTTCTGCTCCCCACTCTGTCTCTGGTGATCCTCTCACCACCCCTGCACCTCTGGCCTGTACCCCAGGTCTGTATGCACAAATAAATAAATCTTAAAAAAAAAAAAACAGGGAAAACTGAAATCGTATGAAGGAATACCATGCTCAGCACAAAACACCTTAAACACACACTGGAGCATGGGTGTGGAGGTAGCTTTCTAATCCAGTAGGGAAAAAAGAGAATGGATGAAGAAAAGAGAAGAGATGGAAATGTCAACCTAAAATGTTTTCTTCAATCCAGTGGCAGGAGAAAAAAGTGCCAGGGAAGAGAACAAGTCAAAAGATATTTCCAGATAATACCTACTCCCAAGAAAGGAAACTGAAAGACAGACATTAAATCCAAACTTAAGTGTCCAGGGATAAAAATCCTCTAACATTATTGATCATATGAATTTTTTTAGTTGACATTCTCCTATAGAAGGCTAAATAGGGTTTAGCCACAAACAGGAGAATGACTCTGGGGAAGTCACTTATTGGTTTCTTTGTTTAGTGCATACAGATAACAATCCAGACTGGGGTAGAAGATGCTTTGGCACGTACAAAGCCATGCACTCATCAGTGCCAGGCCTTGGCTTTTACCAGGCAAAGCATACTTTCGAGAAATCAGTTTGAGATAGCTCAAGCCAAAAAGGGTTGTGCTGTAGTTGTGCAGGAGAGCTAGGTGTTGTGTAAATGTCCTAGTCAGCTCAAGAGGCCTTTGGCAATGGAAAGGTACACATTACCCAGCAAGCTGTGTGCTTGATGTCTGCCCTAGGCAAGAGGCAGGGCTGCCAAGGGCTGCAGCATATCTCATGGGTGACCCAGCATTCCGTTCCTCTCCCAACGCGCAGAGCTTGAGAAGAACAGCTTGAACTCCAAGTGGGGCCTTCTGCTCAGCTAAGGAAAACAGTTCCAAATCTTTCTGACATCTGCACAGAAGGGGTACTGAGGGGCTGCCCTGCAGGGTCAACAGTGCTGGGGCCAGTTTAAACAATCCTGCTTGGCCCTGGGAACACAGGCACGTAGGGAGGAAGACGGAAAGGGACCTGGTGGCGTCAAGCATCTGTGTCCACAGTCTGCCACATGTGCACCGACCTTCTGATCTGGTTGGGAAATAGGACTTTCCTGCTCTTGACTCAAGAAATCTAGCTTGGCCTGGTTCAGTCACCTTGACAAACATTCCCAGAAACTCCAGACTTCACAAATAAACTTTTAGGAATATGTTTAACTGAGTGGACTCTGAGTCATTTAAATATTGACCAAAAAAATCTGTGTAGCGATGTTCTATTTTCCCCCACTTCACGCCCTTTCAACCACTTGTGTTTTCAAAGGACAAGCCAGACTAGGGCTCCAGATGTTTGGAACTCAAATGAAGGCTCCTCACAGAGGAAATCCAGTGCCTTCCATCTTCAAAGATTAAAATCTCAGTCAGGGGTCAAACAATGAGGTCATTGTGGGCAAGCTTGCTGGCTTCGGGCTGACCTCGAAGCAACACAGAATAAGATTTTTGGCGTTTAAAGGCCCCCCAGACCAATTACCTGCTTCTCAGTGGCCTGGATGTTGGGTCCAACCAACTTCTTCCCACTTTCCCACTAACCCATCTGGAAATACCCTTTTGTGTCAAACTTCAAATCTCCTGTGCTTCTATTTCGGCCATTTTTGTAATTTTCTCTCTTTGCAGAGGTACAGTAAGCCAGTAAGAATTACCCTTTAGGACAATGAGTGGGGGAAATATCCAGAAAATTCACAGAAAAACTAAATGTCTGATGAGTACGTGGGACACATAAACTCACTGTAGTCTGGGAATTGGTAGCATTTTTGCCCATATTAACCAAATATCACGTGTTGGCAGGGGTGTAGAGACAGGGACTCTTACACAGTGCTGATGGAGGTATAAATTGGAACACTCAATGGGTTAATCGAGCATTAGTTTTCAAAATTAAAAATGCTAACTATTCCCATAACTGGCAATTCTGATCCTTAGTATCTGTGCAAGAAGATACTAGAAGTATCTTTTTACTAGAAGTACAAGAAGGCTGGTTCAAGAATGTTTACTGACCATTGCCATTTTTAAAAATATTTCCAAATAAGAAAAATTTGAAAATAACCTAAGTGCTCATTAAAAGGGGAATGTCTATCTAAACTATGGGGTAGAGGAAAAGGTCCTAAGAACATCAAGAGTGACCCCCCAACTCCACCAAAGCCCAGACTATATACATACGACTGTATCTTGGAAAAAATCAGAAAATTAAACTGTTTTATACACATTTGTACAAAACCCTGATTATGCACAGAAAAAGAACAGAGAGACAATACTGGGACTGAGAGAAGATCAAGGGAGACTAGTTGTGCCGGTACTGCCTGTATGTTGTTTAGAACTGTCTTCTTATATTAATTGTAAGATGTGTGTTCCCAATTTGTGTCCTGGTTGTAGATCAGAGGTAAGGACATGGGCCTTGGTGGTTACCATGGACATGACTTCCCTAAAAGGCAGCAGTGAGTAAAGTAAATAGGCGAAAAATCAAAGAATCCAGGCAATTGCTCAGTTCCGTCTTCAATTTGCTGTGTGACCCCAGGCAATCATTTTCCTTCTCAGAGTCTCATTCCTCTGTACAATCAGTGGATAAGATGAGAAGCTCAGGAAGTTCCCTTCCCTTTGTGATATTTTATGATTCTCTAAGTCTATGCTTTTAATGTGTAATGGGTCTGGCTTCTTTTGATGAAGAGATGGTTCTTTATCCTCTCCTTTCAAATTCTGACATAGTTTGACATTTCACTTTACCGCAAATGAAAGATAATAAAAGAGAAGGTGGTCACTCTGTTCCCTTCCTGGTTATGTTTTTGAGGGTTTGGTTGACCTACTTACGCTACTTTCTCTTGACAGCATAAGATCTTAGGCTTGTTTGAGTGTAATGAGAGTGGAAATACAATGCGGGAAGGTGGAAGATATGAATTCTACAGGGTGGTCATAAATTTTGGAGACAGATTAGATTTTATTTTACCTTTTCATAGCTTGAACCTCCTTAAACACTTTTTCCGAGTTACATAAAAGATGTAGGGTTTTTTTTCGCTGAAAATCAGAGATACAAATCATCTGGGGCAATATATCACATACACACATACAAAAATTGATGGAAATGCTATAACAATGTACTGTGTTAATTGTAACTTGCACATCAGTTTGAATTGTGCAATTGCTAATAAGGGACAATATGTTAAGTATGACGCTTATAAGCAAACCCTATGTTTTTTTTTGTATTAAAAAGTTTATTTTTACATCATTTTGCACATTTTTTTTTCATCTCAATTGTAATCCCCACGGGTTTCCCATCACCAAATCACCCCTGTGCCACCACCATAGTCCCGTGCATTTCCCTCCCTTCCCCCCCCCCCGTTTTTGGTCCCATTCCCCACTCCACCCCCACAGAATGTCTCTGGTCCATGGACAAACCCTATGTTTTAATGTAATATCTACAAACCATTCTTTATGTATAGTCACCTATGTTTCTGAGCTTTATCACCACCCTTGATTTTAGACAAGTGACATCCTCAGTCTGCAGTAACTTGTTCCCCAGAGTGGTGGGAAAATACCAAGTAGATACCAATGAACTAAGAATTTACAAATGTCTACAAACAAATCATAATCTGGTTCTGCACAACTGAATTGGTTTTTGGAAATACTCCAGATGAAACCTTGAGGAAACCTTGGCATTAAGTCAACAAAAGAAACCTCTTCTTGTTCCCTCAGAGATTTTGACCAATGTAGTTCTATCTATCATTAGTAGCAAATTTCCTTCCAGCTGGTCCTCATTACTTTGCTTGTTCCATGAGGTCATAAGATTAAATTCTAAGCAGTTTAGTTCTAAAGAACACACACACATTTCAGAAAACAGCCCCTGTGACTATTTGTCTTTCGACAACGAAAGAAGCAACTTACCCTTCCTCCTTTCTCAGGAAAGCATTTACAGCCATCACTGCAGTCTCGGCCCCCACATGAATTTTCATAGGACTTCTTCTCTCCCTATTCGGAAAAAATACATAAATAAATAAAGGAAAATGTTAGTAAAGCATGTGAACCATAAAGCAATGGTGCCCTAGGGCACTGAACTCTTTGCCACACTCCTCTCAACCAAGTAAATTAGAGTGACTTAATCATCTCATTGGATGCTGTCATAAACTACGTGAAATAAAAATTCACTTAGGCTTCCAACCTTCAAGGTCACCGTTACTAAATAACCAGTCTTGTAGCTGGTTTGGGAATGTTAACTCAAAATACTGCCTTGTTGGTAGAGATTCTGGTCACAAAATTGAAGAGGATTTATGTACATGGATACTCCACACATTCTGGTGTGGAAGCTGGAGGCCCACCGGAAGTTAAGATATGCACCCACCGGGAAAGCAGCAGCTGTAGCAGAAAGCATGAGAGTTCAAGTGCTAGAAATGGTACTCTGTATTCCACTCTCACTCTTTTTTTCAGATTCCACTTTCAGCACCCTTACAGGGAAACCCCTGTGTCCAGTGAATGGGATTCCAGTTCTTCCCAGGTGATGATGTACAGTATCCCTCAAACTCTCCAACTTCCATTTTCCCTTCTCTGTCTTATAATGATGAATTTATGATTACTAGCTGAGTTTCTACAAGGCCCCTACGTGATCTGTCCTATGCTGATCGTCTTCAGTCTCATCCGGACTCTCTCCCTGGCTCACTCTATCACAGTCATTTGATTTCTTAAAAATAGCCAAGCCTGTTCCTGCTTCCAGGCCTCTGTCTTAGCTGTTACCTCTGCTAGCAATGCTCTTGCTCTGGATGTTTTCTGTTGCTGGCTACTTTTCATCATCCAAATCTCAGTTCAGTTGTCATTTGTTAGAGGCTTTTCCTGACCAACCTAAGGCAACCTCAGTAACTGCCAATCAAATCACTGTTATCTTTTCAATATACAATGTCATGGCTTTTTCCCACTAGATGTAAGCTCCATGTAGGTAGGGATCTTATCTACATTGTACAACATCGCATCTTCATGCCTCAAGGAGTGGATGGCATTTAAGTAGTGTTTGATGATCACACGAATGGAGCTGGCATTTGAACCTATATTTGACTAACTGCAAAGCTTGACCTTAATCTTTTTTTTTTTATTTTTTTTAAAGATTTATTTATTCATACAGAACTGGGGTACAGGCCAGAGATGCGGAGGGTGAGAGAATTCTCCAGAGCCAGAGTGGGAAGCAGAACAGGCAGATTGACGAAGTACACTGCTGAGGGGAGCAGCGGGCGGATCAGGAGAGGTCTGCCACGCCATGTGGTCACCTCCGGGGCAGGCGGGAATCGAACTCATGCGGAAGTGGCTTTAGCTTCTCAGTGCAGTGCTTTAACCCGCTGCACCACCAGGGAGGGCCCATTGACCTTAATCTTTATGCCCTAGTGTTTTCGAAGTCCCTGTGTAACAGAGCTACAATGTGAGGACTCAAAAATGAAGAAACTGCCATTCTGACCCTATCCACCTTGGAAAAAAGCAAAACATAAATTATAAATATTATCTGTAGCAAGAATTTTATCTCTGGGATGAATTTAGTATCATTCAACTTTTTTTTGTTTAATACTGTCTGTATTTTTTCTCAAAAGAGAAAGGCATATTTATGAGTCAGCCTCACACTTAATCATTCTTGCCTCTTTGTACTGTGAGCTTTTTCCTGATTCCCAGGGAGTACGGTGAATTTCTCGGATGGTCTCTTATCTCTTCAGACATTCCCACAATGCTTTATCACCACAACAACTCAGTAATAAGGTAGTGATGGCAGAGCTATGACAAAATATTGCTATTTTAGATTCCAAACACCTTCCTGATATGAGATATTTTATCTCTCATATATGCCTTTGACATGGTAAGTGCTATTGTACACTTTCCAGTTTGCCCTCCATTTTATGCTACACAGGACAGGCAAGTTTTCATAAGGGTGAGATCAAGAGGTGCTAGGGAGGAGGAAGCTGACACAGAACAGAGAACAGACAGAGCAGCACTGAATTTAACCTATGCGGTCACATTGGTCTTAAAGGGAGCACTGTTTCTTGGGAGTTTGGATAATTTACATTTGCATCTCCATACATTTCTGTATTTTTTCAAGCAGTCTTCAATAAGCACATATACTTAGCAAGAATAAAAGACAATGTGTTATTAAATGATAAAAGTCATTCTCTTCAAGGGAGAGGACTCAGTAGCTATTGCCAAAATCAAAGTGTCATCTGCTCAGAGCCATGGCTTACTTCCAAATAGTGCCTCTTGGATATCCCATAAAACTTGCCTATTGTGAACCAAAAGTTTCCAGGTCTCTAGCATGAAGCAAGGAGGCCTGAGGCAAGGGAACTAGATAAAACAGGGGGAAATTTCTAATAACAGAAACTGAAATAAAATGTAAGGAGCGGAAGCTAAGGTTTCTTGGAAACTTGGCAGAACAAGGCGGCAAAGATACCCAGTTAATAGACAGGAAGCCATCACTGTCCTCTGTCACTGAGGAAGGTAACCAGAGAAGCCCCACTGGCCACAGGGCAATTTCCTGTGAGGCTGGCCCTGGCAGTTCCCCCAGGAGTCTTCAGTTACAGTGATGGAGGGGGAGGGGTGAAAGGAGTGGCTTCCAGGGAACATGACTAGAGGACCCGGAGGAAGTCTCTGCCCTATCCTGGCTCCTCTGGGGACACTCCAACCTCTGCTCAACCAGGCCACATCATTCTCACTCTGGAATTTGCTTCTCATTCCTTCCAAAATCCAACCCCTCCTTACACCCATGGAAAATTAGAACTGAAGTTCACCTAGTACCCTAATTCTTTTTTTTTTTTAAAGATTTATTTATTTGTGCATACAGAACTGGGGTGCAGGCCAGAGAGAAAGGAGCAGTGAGAGGATTCACCAGAGACAGAGTGGGGAGCAGAACAGGCAGATGGACGAACTACACTGCTGAGGGGAGCAGCTGGTGAGTCAGGAGAGGTCTGCTGCGCCATGTGGATCAGCCCTGGGGCAGGCAGGGATCGAACTCATGCTGAAGTGGCTTTAGTTTCTTAGTGCTCTGCTTTAACCCACTGCACCACCAGGGAGGGCCCTGTACCCTAATTCTTAATCTTACACCATTTTTTAATCATGTAAGTATTATTCTCTTGCTATCTTTAAAAGAGAATCATAGGAATAAGTTATAACAAAGATGTAATTAGTGATTAAAAAGGCACATATTATGCCATAATTATACTGCAAAGAGAAAAACAATAGCCATGTTTAATGAAACTATATACTTCAATATGTAAATGATCATATGTTGTTACTTTAGAAGATTTAGTGAAGTTGTCAAGAGTTTTGCAGCTCAACGCATAATCACACTACAGCTTACTGAAGTAGAATGAATAGAATATGGTATTAGTGACTCAGCACCATGAATGAAGTTGCTACTAATGCAGTGATTCTCTGAAATAGTGAATAAGTAAAGTTATGAAAAGTAAAATTTAATCATTTCTTTATTTACTGGGTAGTTTCATTAATTTTAATAAAATCATAAAACTTCATTTGTATAGGTAAAATGTTATTATATTTTAGGCTCATATAAACAGTTTTAACCTTCATGAATGTCCAGAAATCTAAAGGTAGATGAGAGACAATTCTTTGCAGTGTGCTCAACATCAGTCATTCCTGGCCTCCACCTAAGTTCCTCTCCCAAACATTTTGAAAACCAAAATCCCCTGCAAAATACCTGGGGAGGGGTTGGTATTTCTGTCAAGAGCCACTAGTCTAATTCAAATTACCTATTTTACATATAAAAGCACTGAAGGAAGTAACTTTGGTCCAGATCACTCAGCTAGCAGTTCACCATTGTTCTTCTTTCCATTATTCCATAGTTAACACATCAAGTTCAAGTTCCAATTTCTCCAGGATCACTTCAGTTCAGTGAACTGACCTAGCATGTATTATCCGTCCCATTCAGTGGGCAAGGGTCATTCCCACATTCATTGTGGGATAGTCCTGGCAATGTTCCTGATATTGCAAGTCAAGGAGTTTTGCAAACAATGATATCTCTAAAAGAAAGGTCAGCCTATTTTACTTTTTTGTATATTCCCACAGGGTTACAGAGGCAGCCTATGTTCTATCAGTCACCTGAAGCAGTGTACCTTAGTTAATTTTATGGGGACTACAACTGAGAGGAGAGCACATACATTGTAGAAAAATAAAGAATGATGTGTGTATAGATAGATAGATAGATAGACAGACAGATAGATAGATAGATAAAAAAGACTTTTGGCTTCAAAGTCAGTGTGTATAGGCTTAAATCCCAATTCATATTTCTGAGTTGGGCATCCTTAGGTAAGTGACTTAATTTCTTTAATGCGCATTTTTCCATCTGCAAAGTGGGAATGACATCTGTAGCTACTCTATAGGGGTTGACTGGAGGACTCAATAAAAAAAGCATGTAAACCGCAACTTCTGGTTTATAGTAAACTCCCAGTGTCAGCTGTTATTATTACTTTAATCTTGGCCGTACCACAAGGCTCAGCATTTCTGTGATGTCTGGTCTCTCTCTTGAGCTGCCAGTCAAGTGGTGTGTCCTGATAGACCCATCACAGTTTGTGGTGACTGCTAGCTACTCTGCTTGATTAAGATACCTACTTGGATTTGTTGATGTCTGTTTATAACCAACCGATAAGCATTTTTACTACCACCAGTATCTCATCCATCAACATCTTCCTTTGATAATGCTGCTTCTTTTGTGTGATGTTTTTCCCTACTACTTTTTCCCTTTTACTGCAGATGGAACTCCTATTCATTCTCCAAAACTCACTGCAAAAGCCATCTTCTTGGTGAAGACTCCCCAAAATTCTCCCTTCTCAGCCATTTTAGGCAGCAGTACTCCTTCCTCTTTGTTGATGGTGCTTTGCCACATATAACTGTTTCTGCCATCTGACTGGGGATAGGCTCTATTTTATTCCTTGTACTCAGTAAAGGGCTGTGAAATAATTGCTCTAAAAACAGCTGAGCAGCATTCTAGGGGTGCAAGCGGTTAAATCTTAGCTATATGAAACTATCACCAGCCATTGCATCACCCAGGTCAGGGAGCTGATGTGTATGGCCCAGCAGACCTTTCCTGTCTTACCTGCTGTCTCTCCCCACTCTGTCTCTGGTGAATCTGTCACCCCTTGCACTTCTGGCCTACACCCCAGCAATTGTAAACATAAATAAATCTTTAAAATTCATGAAAACAGAGCACTCCCTGGTGGCGCAGTGGGCTAAAGGGCAGCACTGCAAGCTGGTCATGGTTGCTTCAGTGCGAGTTCGATCCCCAGCCCCAGAGGTGATCCACATGGCGAGGCAGACTTCTCCTGACCCACCCAATGCTCCCCTCAGTAGTGTACTTCATCGATCTGCCTGTTCTGCTCTCCAATCTGCCTCTGGTGAATCCTCTCACTGCCCCTGCACTCTGGCCTATACCTCAATTTTGTATGCATAAATAAATAAATCTTTTTTTTTAAAATGAAAACAACTGCATTACAAATGTTATACCAGCTCCACGTGGGATTCTTCTTTTCCTTTTGATTCCCTGAAAGAGTTATATCCCAACATATCTTCTACAAATCCATCTGTTTTTCTACGTATCTCAGCACTTTCTGGTATGAATGATGGCAGGGATGACCATGATACAAAAGGTAGCCCAGGACATGAGAAATGAAATATAAGAGTATCTTAGCTGGAGTGGCAGGTGTTAGTTCTCCTTGTGAGCAATTCCTCCATAAACTTGTGTCACAGTGATATCTGTGCAACATTTTATTTTGATCATTTATTCAAATAATATTTATGAAGTACCTACTATGTGCTAGGTCATTCAGCAAGTATCGACGTGTCTGTGTTGCCTTGCAGGGCATCAATGTTGGAGAGTGCGGGATGAGAAGGATGACTCCAAGTCCATGTGGAGCAATGAGAAGGTCAGAGGGGCTATACAGGAAGTAAGGTGCTGCCCTACCCATAGGCAGCCTCATATTAGTAGAATCAAGTGCAAAGGTTGGGCAAGTAGTAGGGACTGTACCTGGGTGGGGGAAGCAGCTATTGTGGATGTCAGCTAGGGTGGAGTGACCAGGGGCTCTTGCCTGGGGTGCTCCATTGTTCCGCTAGTCAGAGTATGGTATCTCTATTCTAACATCTGCCTGTATTTTCAGCAGTTATTGGTTACCCAGTGTGTTCCCCATACTAGGACTTTCTTCTTGGTGAGAGGCCTCCTTGCATGACCCTACACATAGCTGACAAGCAGGAACTCTGGGCACCAAAGCAATATCTCCCAGAACAAGGAAGGGCAGGGAGTGCACATTACTGGAGTATCTACTATGCGCTAGGTACTGTGCCAGCCATGTGGGATAGAGGTTATAGCATACAAGCCACAAGTGAAATCAAATCCATGGTATTTATAGTCCAGAGGGGAAGACACATAGTAAACAAATAAATGTTATATTCATATTTGTCAGATGATATGTAGGGTGGAAAACAAAGTAGGATAAGGGTGGACAGGAAGTATTGGAGCCAGGTTGCTAGAGGGAAGCCAGGGAAGGATTTGTTCATAAGGTGATTTCTGAGCAGAGAACAGAATTTCTGAACACATGGTCCTTGGCCAGCATCATCAGTGCTGAAAAATTGTTAGAAACTTAAATTACTACTCCCTCTCAGGCCTACTATATCATAAAAATGAGGGAGTAAGCTAAGTAGTAATTGGGGAAGAGAATATTACAGGTAAAAGAGCTAAGGCAATAAATGAGAGAACATACTGAAAGTTCTGGCTGAGTAGCAAGGAGGTCAGAGTTCTAGAATGGAGTGAGTACGGGGAATGGGGTAGATTATGAGTTCAGAGATGTAGTAGGGGTTAGATCATATAATATTGTCTACAACACCATCAAGATGTTGTCTGTGGGAAAACATTAAGTAGTTTTGAACATAAGAGTGACACCTACTGATCTACTATTTTTTTGGAGATTTATGTTCCTTTACTGATACATACAAGAGCTGTGGTGCAGGCCAGAGGTGTGGGGAGGTGAGATGATTCAGCAGAGACAGAGTGGGGAGCAGAACAGGCAGATGTACTGAAATGAAATACACTGCTGAGGATAGTAACAGGCAAGACAGGAGAGGTCTCCTGGGCCATGTGGGCAGCTCCCTGTCTGAGGATTGAATTCATGATTCAGTGGCTGGTGATAGTGCTGAGACTTAACCCCTTGTGCCACCAGCGAGGCCCCTGGTTTACTTTTTAAGATAGATAATTTTTTAGCTGATATGTGAACTGTAACAGGGTGAGGGTGGAAACGGCAAGGCATCTAAGGTACTGTTATGAAAGCCCAGCAGCAGGAATATGGTGGGCTGGGCCAGTCAGGCAGTTGTAGAGACTAGCAGGATGCAGAACTGCTAGGAATTGCTGATGGATTGGATAGATGTGGGATATAATGGAAAAAGACTAATCAAGGATGACACTACAGTTTCTCTACCTAAGGAGTTAGATGAAACGGTTATTTGAGGTGCTGGGGGACATGAGAAATTCTGGTTTTGAGATGTCTTTGACATCTAACCAGATAAATGGAAAAGAGCTAAATATGGTGATGTGACATTCAAGGGACATGGCTGACTTTGAGATTTATATGTGGAGTTTACTTTGTATAGACTCAACTATGTTGCAGTAACAAAACAAAAAGCTCAATGGTTTAACCTGACAAAGATTTATTTCTTGTCCATGTTTCAACAGACAGCTCTTGTGGATTTCCAAGTTTCTTTTGGCTAGCAATTCCTCCATCTCAGATGCTAATACTTGCTCTTAATTGCCCTTAACTGTGCTGGTATTCCCCTCAGCAAGAACTACAGAGTCGTAATCACATGGAAAGTAGGAGAGAACAGGGATAATATGGTGAGCACCATCTCTGCCACCAATGGTATATAAAACAAGAGTAGAAGAGATCATCAAAGGGGTTAATGTGGAGAAAGGGAAGAGAAAGCATTCTAGACTTGAACAGAAGGCTCTTCAATGTTAAGAGAACATGCAGAAGCACCAGAGAAGGAATCTGAAAAGTACTAGTCAGTGTGGTAAGGTAGAGAACTAACAGAGACAGAAGTCCTAAAAGGCAAGTGAAGTATTTCAAGTAAGAGGTTAGTGATAAACTGTTAAATTGTTGGTAAGATGACCAAGATCAGGTTTGAGAACAACGCAATGGATTTAGCAAGGTGGAGATCTGGAATTTCAGGATGCAGAGCAATTTCAGGAAGGGGAACTCGGAAATCAGGTACTACTGCAAGGCAGCTCTAAGAATCCAACTGAAGTTAGTGGTCATGGGTTTAAAGAAACACCAGTTATGAATAATGTTGAGTTTTTCTTTTTCCTGCCCTGTGAACACAGATTGGATTAAAGGAAATGTTTGAGTTTAACCAGGGTTGGGTTCTGCTAGGTAAGAAAAATAAAGGAAAAGAGAGACAAGGGACTCAAAGGTACCTGGCAAAAATGAATTATAAAGATGGAACATGACATCTAGGATTCCTAAGGAAGGTCCTGAGCACAGGCTATAAGAAGCAGTAAACAAAAGATAGTAAATCAAAGACTGATAGATACTGGTGAGCTACAAGAAACATGTGGGGTTTTTGATTTGTGACCTGGTCTGAGAAGAAGAGGTAGCGCTATAAAATGGCTAGGGCCTGTTACTAATCTAGTGAGTGCCAAATGAGACAGCCCGTGGAGTATAATAAATGTTTTTGAATTAGCTCAGTAAATATTTGTTGAAATGTTTACTGAATCTTGGATTCCTACAAAATAACTAAATTACTCTGTTTTAATAACATCGGCTTTCTTCAAAACACCTTTCACACCAAATCTCATTTTATTTTTATCACAAATCTGAAATTGGTATTTCACATGTACAGGTATGTGGAGAGATAAATACATATTACAACATTTGAATGATTTGTTATCTCTCCACCTACCTGCTAGACATTAAGTTCCTCTAAGCTGAAGCTCTTGGTTTGTTTGTCATGAGACAAATCAGTTTAAACCTTCTAAAGCCTCAATTTCCTCAACTATAACATAGGGATCATAATATTTTAAGTCACAGGGTTTTATGAGGTTAGAATGCCCCTAGCAAGCTGGTTGGCACAGATAGTATGCTCAATATTGTTGGTTGGTATTGTTTGTAATTATGGCATCTAGTACTGGGCCTGCAGGTACTTAGTATGTTTTCACCCAGTGACTGATTTGCATTTTAAAGATCAGGAAATGGAGGCTCACCTGTTAATGATTCCTCAACAAAGGAAGTTAAGTATCAAGAGTTGGAATAGAAATCAGGCATCCTCACTCCCTATTTGTTCCATCAGACTCCTTGCAACTAGTTTCAGAAAGTAACCTCCAACGGAGAAGTTCGAGAAAGAATAATGTGAGTTGAGAAAGGTGTCTTTTTTCTTTGCCTTTTAAAAAATTCAACATTGCTTTACCTACTTTACAATACTTCTTGTACTGTTTGTACACTTCATAAACTATATATAATTCTTCTAACGACTTTTGAAACGAAGGAAGAATTTTTACATGTCCACTTCTTATGGGAAGTAAAACAAATCTGAGTCTCAGGAGTTGGTATCACTTTTTAGTTTAGTGACAAAGCAAATACTCAAAGCCGAAGCTTCTTTTTTCAGTATACAGCTCAATTTTTTTTAAAGGAAAAAGAATACAACCTGCTGAAGTGCCCTTTTATAATTGTCATACCCTAGTGGTCGCCTCAGGACCCAGAAACTAGTCCTGGAGCCAGATTTACATAAAGGACTACAATTGGGGAAGCATCTGCTATGCACCTAAATAGGTAATTCTCTCTGTTAACTCACAGAATTATG